TAAGAAAAGTATAAACTCTTTTATTAATTAATAATTACTTTGATTTGTTCGGCGGATACTTCGGGATCCTTAGACCGACACTTTGGGTAGTTATGTAATTAATAATTAGAGGGTTATATTTTCAATATTTGCATCATTACTACTTGTATTTATTTTGTATTGATTATGGTTGATCACAAAGTAAATTCGAAGGCCTTCGTGTATTTTTAGACAAAATGATTTATTATATATTTATTTATTTAAATTATTATTTTTGTCAAACAAATGTTTTATTGTGATCGAGCCAGAAATAATCAAAGGTACCAAAATAAATATATTAATTAAGTAGTCGGATTGATGGCTTTATTTATTCGATAACTAATTATGCATAGAGGGGTCAAAGTGCAACATTGACTTAAAAGTTATTTATTATTTAATTGGAGTTCAATTACTTTTAGTGGAGTAAAAATTAATTTTATGAATTAATTGAATTGGGTCCATGGATCGGGCCAATTATTAATTCATTGTAGCCAATAAAGTAATAAACCCAAAGGATTTTCACTCATAGCCCAACTTGATATTGGAATCCTATTAGATTTGAGACATGTGAATTAGAGATTGAGAAGGATTATTGTTACTTTTCTTTATCTTTATGTTGCCTATATATATACATAGTCTATGTATATTTTAGGTGTGATTTTTGGAAGAAGGAAAAATGAATATATTTTCTCTCTCTGTAAAATTAGGGTTACTGTTCTCATCTAATGGAGGCTCCCACAAGCCTAGTTTTTCAAGGTCATTCATGGAGGCTTACGAGTGATTCCTAAAGGCAAAACAATTACTAAGAAGATAGAGATCTAAGGAGAATGCATCTTGTTGAGGGATCTATAATAAGTGAGAACATTCACTTTAGAGGAAAGATTTAAAGGTTTACTCGGATATTTGATGTAAGTATTCAATCTGTTAATTGAATGATACATCATATTTTATTTTTTGCATAAAACTTGTCTCTATGTGATGAATCAAGATCTGTGAATGAAAATCTCTCGAAAAGTTTTTAAAACTAGCACGTTTCCCAACACTATGTCTGTGATACCCCCTAATTTCGGAACACGGGGTTGATCAAGTCCGCGCACAAAATTAGGGAATATCAAACCAATTATAGTATTTAAACAAGCACGGATTACAAAATGAAATAAAGAATAAAATAAAACGCTGAAGAAATCTAAGTAATAGTAAATCCATTAATAACTTCCAAATGGTTACAACTCGGAAATCCCGTAACTCAAGGACCCCTTAACCAAAAGTTACTATTTAGAATTTCAACCAAATAAATACTAATATCAACTGAAACAAAACTAATATCCTACTTTTAAGCAAATAGAAGGAATGGATAAGTCCTCCAGCTGCGGATCCTCAACCTTGAGACTTGACCTTCTAACAACCTGAAAAATAAATCGCGGGTTAAACCCTACGAGCAAGTTCTCTCTACCAAGCCTCTGAAAACCAATAAACAGATCATCTTTACCAAAACCATCCATAATTAAGCTTTAACTTTAATATACGATGCTACCAATATATATAAATACTTATATATATAGTACAAGAATCCTATCTGTTAATAGGGCATTAAATTGTCAAAACCACTCACCAATAATTAATTATTAGTCATACCTAGACCAAGCCCCCCCTTTTTATAATTTTCTCATAAAGTAAACCTCACTCACCTTAACTCCATCCTAAACAGTAATTTAGTCATCTACACATATAGCGATTTAAATATGCACCGGCAAATCAACCATGCCATTTATAAATATATTTATTTATATACTAGCAATTCAACCATGCTTCCTTCAATATATTTACTTTTACAACTAATTAGCAATTCAACCATGCTTCCCATATATGAAATTTATTCATAACCAATAAGGCAGTATATCAAAGCCTTTGGCAACTCATCCATGCCTACAATTCAACCATGTACTAACTTTAAACTTAACTCTAGGTATAATTATACATAGACTTCACATGCATATAATAAGCATGTCCTTAATTTAATAACCGTGTATCTATTACGATTTTAAATCAACCATACCATACACGAATCAAGTCATACCAAACAAGATTTATAATATTTAATAATCTTAAATAATATATATATACACATATATTTTATAATATATATATATGTGTGTATCATACATTCCATACCAATCGTTGACTATTTAAAATCATATCTACCCTCCTTTCATTGCAAAAATATTTAATTAATTGTATTTATACCACTAAATGCTACTAGGTATCTTAGTAACACTCTGAGGCTCTCAGAACATCAAGAACACACCCTCTAATGATTAATTTTAACCCTAACAAGCTTAAGATAAATACTGGAACTTCACCGGAGTCTCAAGCAACTTTCCAGGACCTCACACGCATCCCCACGCGCCTTCACGCGCCGCCACATACCCCTAGACTACTCCCACGCGCCTCCACGCGCTTCCCCTTACCGGCAGGCGCGTCCACGAGCCTGCACGCGCCCTCACGCGCCTGAGCCACTCTCGGCGCGTGTTGGCAGCTCCTAATTGGTTGCTGTTGGTTGATTTGGTACACCGCGCTACACTGGATAATCCCTCCTTTGACCAGACCTAATGAATGGTCTAGATGCTCAAGTGCACCATCCCTCCATGCACCGCGAAGCATAGGATTATTCTAATCACTCATCAACTTAACCCATGGCCCAGATCAGTGCTACACCAACTTACTCTAAGCCGCACCACACTGGATTGCACACCCTATTTGCTACAGCCGCCTCCAGTAATGTCATATGTTAAACAATTTAACATATTTCTATATATAACAGTATATATAAATAATTTCTATAATAACATTAAAAATATAAATTAATTCCAGAAAATTTTAAGAAAAAACTCAGAAAATTCCAAAAGATTTATTTATTATTTTGGGCATAAATGAACATATACAATTAAATTAAAATCCATTTAATTTAATTAATCGTGCTACACAAGGTTAACGCAAGATATAAAAATTTTAAAAAAAATAAAATTTAATTAACTTAACCTAACCTCACATACAAGATCTAAATTATCAGAACAATGCATACATATATTCACATGTTTAATTCTATAATTTTGTAAAGAATAAATATGCTCCTCCAATCTGAATAATAATTTAATTTAATAAAATAAAATTATAATTTCGATAATCAAGGTGATAAGTTTATGAGTTCTAAGAGGAGAAGTAGAGAAGAACTCGCCTTTTCTTTTCCAAATTTGGTCTCCTCTTACGTTCTTTGATCCGGCCTCCTTTTCGCTAGCCCTTCTTCTTCTCTCTCTAATTCTCTTATTTTTCTAACGTGGAAAAACTCCTAACCCTAAAGTCTTATGTGTCTATTTATACACATCCAAAAACCTAAATCCTTTTCCCATTAGGATTATTATCATATAAAATAAATAATATATATCTTTTAAATAATATATATACATACATATATTTTAATGTAAATATATATATATATTACCTTCCATATATAACCATTAGTTAAATAAATTATATATACCTATATATATCAATATATAATTATATTGACATATATACCCCTCCACATGATTTAATAATGAATTAATATACACATGTAATTATATAGGTATAATTATGCAAAGATAATTATTAAATATCCTCACAACTACGGGCCTTTACCAATTAACCCAACAAGGCTTCCTTCAAGCCCAATACCACATCCGTTGGTCCAACTTCCTTTAATCCCAATCCAAATAACTTAAATACCTAACATAATGAAATTAAATAAAGTTACACCAACATAAAATCACGCAAATCAAATAAACAATTCACTAACTAGCATTCCACAAATCAAACACCGTATAAATTTAACAAATAAAATTACAAAATATAATTTAATTAAAACAATACAATTTACCTACGCACTTAATTAAATAAAACAAATCACAACTATCAAGCACCTAATTAAATAAAACAAATCATTTAAAAATAATAATAATAATAATAATAATAATATAAATTAATTTAATTAATAAATCCTTTTTAAAATATCGGGGTATTACTATCGGGGATTTAATATCGGGGATTTATTAATTTAATTAATAAATCCTTTTCCTGCATATTAGACCTCACTTGGGTTCCTACATATCACTGTGTGTATATATACATATTTATATATATATATAGGCTGTTCATATTGATTATGATTTTTATACTTTTGATAATTCAATTGATTGAAACCCAAATGCATTTTCTATTGTCCCTCAATAGAATTCATTTTAGAGAGAGCAAACAATTGATTTTGGAGAGAAGACATTAGAGGAGAATGCTTGAAAAGGGAGAAAAAGGGTAGTGCAAAAGTGTGCAAAAAACCCCTTCTATTTTCAAAGGGGTATTTTGGGTAGTGCAAAAGGGTATTTTTGGTATTAAAGGCCAATTTTTGCTCACATGCACAGCACATGCCAAATTTGTTGGTCAGAAGCCCTTATTTGCAACTTTTTTTAATTAAAGGGGTGGAGTTTGAATAACAGAAGTGTTATTTGCATATTTTAAAAATTACAGGAGTGTTTTTTGCACTTACTCCCATTTTTTTATTACAAAACATGCCAATAAAACTAACAGTTAAACAATTATTACTTTAAAATGTAGATTTCTAAATATTGAGGGATAGAGGAGTAATTTTACTACCCTCCCTCTCCCGCGGAAATCAACGAATTTCCCACTCGGAAAGCTTTTAGATGAATTATTTGACCAAGACACCCCTATTACCAAAACGCAACATCAATGCTTGTGCAAGAAAATTGAGGGTATCTTAGACTTTTCACCTCAAAACTAACAACTAATTCTGTTATTTGGCATCACTCCCCCGCTCTTTGATCTCTCTCGCCCTCTCTCTCTCTCTCTCTCTATACACATCTATATATATTATATACATATATAGTTGTATTGCTTGTGTTTTCCACAACAACTGCTCTGAAGCTCACATGGCGAGAGCTAAAATCATCAAGAACTCATTGATAACTCTGGACCCATCACTGTTCATGCACTTGCTTTTAATCTCTCCATTCTGTTCACTCCTCTTCTCTCCCAAGAAGAGCCCAAGAACCCACCATCTCTCTTCGTCACCAACCCTCTCTCTCTTCTTTCTCTCTCTACTCATCTTCTTCACTTTCTTGGGAATCTCCATTCTCAGCTTCATACCCATCTCTCACAACTCACTACCCCTCTCTGTCCCTTCTCTCTCACCTTCTTCTTCATTCCCTCCTCTGCTCTCAGCTTCTCTCTCTGCTATGGTCTCCAACACTGAAATTGATGAGCCAACACTGTCAAACAGTGTGATGGTGCCGTTGCCGGTCCACGGAGTCACCGGAAATGTGTCCAAGGAGGAGAGAGAGTTTTGGAAGCAACCGGACGGAGATGGGTACCGGCCGTGTTTGGATTTCGGAATTGAGTACAGACGAAATTCGGCAAGGGTTTCGAAGGAGAAGAGGAGGTTCTTGGTGGTGGTGGTATCAGGAGGACTGAATCAACAGAGGAATCAGATAGTTGATGCAGTTGTTATTGCCAGAATTCTTGAAGCTGCGCTGGTTGTGCCAATTTTGCAGGTTAATCACATTTGGGGAGATGACAGGTATAAACAAAATTAAATAAATTTCATGTTTTTAGTCCTTGGGATGCAAATTTATTAATTGGAATGTCTGAATTGCATTTTATTTTCTTGTTTTGATAATTTTATGTCATGGGTTGATTTAATTTTGGCTCTTTTATTCATTTCTTGTCAATATCATCCAGATTTTGTTTATTTCTCAATGACCATTCATTTTCATATTGATGCAATGCGAAAACTAAGCATATGTTTGGGATGAAAATTATTGGAATTTCTGAATTGGATTTTATTTTCTTATTCTTGGATAATTTCATGTCATGGTAAATTTAATTTTGACTCCTTTTTGTTTATATATTGTCAATAATTTTTCACTTGGACTTGCTATATTTAGAACTTGATAATCCAGATTTTGTTTATTTCTCAAGAACCCTTCATTCATATTGATGCAATGCAAAAACTCAGCATATGCTTGTGATAGTCATGAAGAATTTAAGTTGTAACGTTCTTTTACCTGAATTTATTGAGCTACAGAAGTGAATTTTGGACTCTTTGGTACTAATAATGTTGATGCAATGCAAAAACTGATTAATGGGACAAAGGCTTTGCTGATTTGAGTTTGAATTAAGAGATATTTATACTTGATTTGCAGTGAATTTTCCGACATTTTTGACGTTGAACATTTCAAGAAGACTTTACAAGCTGATGTTCGAGTCGTATCATCTTTACCGTCCACTCATTTGGTTTCAAGGCAATCCATTGAAACTCAGATTCCATTCCATGCTCCTCCATTTTGGATTCGTGCCCGGTTCTTCAAACGAGTAAGAAACAAACAGAGGCTTTTATTCAATACTTTGGTTGCATGGTAGATGAGGTAAAGAAGGAAATACAATCAGAAATGAAGTTCCAAAGTTCTTTTTTTTCATCTTTTCTTTTGTTCCCTTTTCTCGGCATCCAAGCAATTCATAAGCATTTAGATGTTTTTATTATGTTTCATTTGCTAAGGTGAGATAAGGGTGTACTTCAAATTATCCATTTAAGGTTCAGAAAATTTTTGGTAGGTAAAATGGTCATCTGAAGGTTGCATGAATGGTTATGATTTTTAGTTGAAGATTCACCTGATTTGCACTAACTCATCTTGTTTGAAAGAGACTATGTAATTCAAGTCCTAGAACAATAGTATATGATTTATACTTTGTTACATTTGGTTTCATGTAGCTAAATGAAGAAGGTCTTCTAGTACTGAAAGGGTTAGATTCTAAGCTCTCCAAGAATCTTCCACCTGATCTTCAGAAGCTTCGATGTAAGGTAAACAGAAGAAGATCAGTTAGTATTATCGAATTCAGATATAAATTCCCAACAGTATGGTTATTTATAATTGTTCTATGCGACAATTTTGGTAATTCTTTCAATTTCTCTTAAATCAGGTAGCATTCCATGCACTAAGATTTGCAGCGCCAATTCGTGAGCTTGGGAATCGGCTTGCTAAGAGGATGTGGATTGAAGGGCCATACATTGCCACTCATATGAGGTTAGAGAAGGATGTGTGGGTCAGAACTGGATGTCTTACTGGTTTAGGCCCCGAATATGATGACATTATCAGGAGAGATTGCGAGTCTCGGCCTGAATATCACACTGGAAGGTTGAACATGAGCTACATTCAGCGGCGGCTTGCTGGACTATGTCCTCTCAATGCACTAGAAGTGGCAAGGTAAATTAGAAACCAAGTATTTAAGCATAGTTGACCTAGCTTCATGTTCTCTCTTTTTTCACTCTTTTTTGAAATATGTCTGGAGGAGTCACATTTAAATTTGGTTCAAGTGCAGAGTACTCAAGGCTCTAGGGGCACCCAAAAATGCAAGAGTATATATTGCAGGAGGAGAGCCATTTGGGGGCACTCGAGCCCTACAACCGTTCGAGGCGGAATTCCCAAATTTAGTGACAAAGAAGATGTTGGCTCGAGATGGTGAGCTTACACCTTATGCCAACAGGTCATCTGTTTTAGCAGCCCTGGACTATATTGTCTCACTGAGCAGCGAGGTTTTTGTATCCTCCCACGGTGGTAACATGGGCCGAGCTATGCAGGTATGCAGCAGTTAAACAATTTTTATACCAGCAGCTCCCATGAACTTGTACTAATTGAACTTCAGAGTACACTCACTTCCTTTGTTATACCTGCCAAACCATTGCTCAAGTATCAGAGTCAAGAATGCTAAATGAATTACAGTGTCACCGTGGCTAAAACTTATGGGTAGTTAACACAACTTGTCCTTGATGTTGTGAATCTTGTGATGCTTTGGATGTGACATTAGTGGAATTTTAACAGTATATTGACAATATATAGTGTTCTAGTCATTTTAAAGTCACAACAAAACTTGGTAAAAGGGTTTGAAACTTTGAAGAATAAGCATGTAAATAACCATCAGACTAATCTCTATTGAAGTATATACAAAGTACACACTGACATGCACAATAACAAACCTGTGTAAGTTCATCCAATTAAAGTGAATATTTATACTGTATTTGTGTTGTTTATTTCACACAGGGTCACCGAGCATATGTGGGACATAGGAAATTTATAATGCCAAACAAGCGTGCGATGCTTCCTTTCTTCGAAGAAGCATTCATTTCTCATGAAGAATTCAGCAGCATCATGAGGAAGCTGCACAGGAAATCTCAGGGGCAGCCTGAGCTGAGGACTAACAAGAGAGATCGGGATGTGATTGCGTATCCAGTATCTGAGTGCATGTGTAAGTACTAAGCAAGACAAAACACATTTGTAATCAATCAAAAGAGCTGACTGAGGCTTTTGTAAGCCGTTCGAGAGGATTTGCCTATTCTTCAAGGCCTCTCCTCGACTCTTGTATGTGTAGCATTTTGTTCATATTGTATTGAAAAATTTTCTGTTTATAGAACCCCATGCCACAATTGATCTCTCCCTTGCAGCTTTTGGATCATAGCTTTAATTCCTTATGGTATACATAGACACAATAAGCATTAACTTCGATTCTGTGAGAACTATGGGGAGGATTGCAAGCCTCAAGAGAGTGGTATTAAAATATCAGCTGAAAAATTGATTTGAAATTTGTTTAGAAAAGATGAGCACAGAATATACCAGTAGTTTAAAGAAAATAAAAATAATGATAATCATCATAGAATGAATTTATAGACAAACTAAAGTTGTGAATACTAATCGAAGTTAAAAGTCAAGTTCAGCAGGCTTCAAATAGTGATTTAGCATTCATAGACTTGAGTTGCATATGTATATTGTCATCCTTGACAGATTTTACTACTGAAATAACTTGGATGCAAGCTAGACTACTTTGAATTAAGAATGAAGAAGCAGCATTTGCTTGACAGATTAAATTCACAACGAAGAGCGAGATGGAAAGAGAGAGACATACTCGTGCAGTTTGATTTTATTTGGAACAGAAACATAATGCTGCTAGACATGTATGGTCCTAAGAGGAACAATGAATGATACCCTCGAACTTCCACTTGTAGGCTGGCCAAACCCACACTTAAAGACCCGGAGATATCAAAACAATTGAGTAATAAATGAACACAGAATACAAGAGGAAATAAAATAGAATAAATAACAATGCTGAAAGAAAACTAAATTAATAAATATTATAATATCTTATACAAAATTTCCAAATGATAAATAATGCATCTCCAACATACAACTTGGGAATCCAAATATCATGGACCCCTATAAATCTCGTATTGAAAATGCCTATATTGAACACAATATTAGCAGTGTCCGTGTGACGTCCTTTTGTTTAGAAATTTGAAGCGTTCGGCATATAACATAGCGTTGGAGAGAAGCAATACATTTTCTCTTATATCTTTAATGGACATTTTTTCACATAAGTACATAACAATTACTGGCATAGACATGCATTCATGAGAATGTATTTGCATTCATATGTCTTAAAATATAACAACCAAAATAATCTGTTTTTACAGCAAATGAATATATTGTGTATCCAAAACTAGAGTAAATACTCTTGTTTGGCCACGCATGATTACATAATGAAGCATCATCAAAAAGAGAGAATGGGGACAACCTTTCAAATATATTCCGCCCTCCTCAAGAAACAAGGATCTTCTGAAGAGAGGACCTGAGAATTAACAAACCGTTCAAATGGTGCAACTGTGACATGGAGGTCACGGGTTTGAATTACGGAAACAGCCTCTTCGCATATGGGGATAAGGCTGCATACATCTAACCCTCTCTAGACCCCACAATGGCGGGTGCCTTGTGCACTGGATTAGCCCCTTTTTGGCCTAATGGACCAATTCATGACAAGCACAATGTGAGTATTTCCAAACCCTGGCCAGTTTTTACTGCTGCGGAGACTATTGAAAGACCTGGTACTCCTCAAGATTTCTAGTAACCAAAGGATAACAAGCTTGACCATTCCCAATAGATGAACAACTACTAAAGCAGTTGCAGTTTTTATCCTCTGATTCAGTGAGGCTAATTGCAAATGCATGCAGAGTGGAAATGCCAAAGCTTATGCCAGATGAAGAACCCACATAATGTAGGAAACACAAACAATGCTCTCAAGTCAAACTGGCATTAAAATTAATGTTTCTCCTCCTGTTAGAGAATTTGTGCTTGCAGATTTTCAATGCTGACAGTTCTTCAGGTTTAATAGTCCTCAACTAAGCTCGAGTCCTAGCAAACCGTATGACTTCCATTCTACAATCCTTCAAAAATGTGGGTTGCAGTGCAGATTGAACATAATGCACAAAGTTGCCTCTTTGCAAGCATTCCAACCCAAGCAGGGGGATAATCAAACAGTTGTTACCAATATCATTATCATAAAGGCCTATTCAACAGAGTGAATTCTCATCAAAATTTATAAACCACCCCATCTAATGTAATCACGAAAACCGCAACTAACACAGTGCTATCAACCCTCTGAAAGGATATCTGATACGGAGAGACACATGCTAAAAGAGTGAGCCTTCTTAATTTCCTCATATGTAGGGTATCCTCTGCCAATGTCCTGACGATAATTAGACCACATTGTTGTTGTTTTCATTCTATCAAGCAAACTTGCCTCCATTGCTTCACCCTCAGACTCAGTCCCCTCATTTGTTCCCTCCAACGCCTTCAATATTTGCCTCATTGTAGGCCTACTACTGGGATCTGGATATACACATAACAATCCCAAATGAAGCACCCTCTCAACTTCTTCTTCACTGTACCCACCCTTGGCCTTTAGCCGCTCATCCAGAGCACTAATCAATTCCCCTCTCTCCATCAGCCCTGACACCAAATCAATCAACCCCGGCTTCCCTTCTTGGATGGGACCTCGTCCACACACTACCTCTAGAACCAAGATCCCAAAACCGTACACATCAGTTTGAACCGAGGCACGCCCTGTTCGAACAAATTCCGGTGACGTGTACCCCACAGTGCCAACCACTTGTGTCGTGCTAGGCAATTCTCCCCAATTGTGCATTCGGGCGAATCCAAAATCCCCTAACCTGGCATTCATATCCTTATCGAGTAACACATTGCTTGCCTTAATATCTCTATGCAAGACCCTTGATTCCCATCCCTCATGCAAATACAATACCCCACAAGCCACGTCTTTTAATACCTTAATCCTCTCTTCCCAACTCAACACCATACTATCTTCACACCCAAAAAGCCTCTTATCCAAACTCCCATTTTCCATATAATCATACACCAAAATTAAGCTTCTTTTCTCTCTCTTACACCAACCCCTCAATCCTACCAAGTTTCTATGCTTCAACCTGCCTAAACTTGAAACCTCGGCCAAGAATTCTCTCATCCCATGCTCATTTTCGAGTGAAATACACTTTATGGCCACTTCAACTCCTCCCACCAAAACCCCTCTAAAGACTTTTCCATTCCCGCCACACCCAATTACACTTTTTTCTGAAAACCCATTAGTTGCTTTGTAAATCTCTTGATAATCCATCCGATGAGGCCAATACTCCAACTCCCAATCTTCCAATTTCACTCCCGCTTTCCTTTTCTTTCTCTTGAGCAAAACCACAAACACCACAGCTGCAAATCCAATAACAAACACACTACCAACACTAACCCCCACAATGAACCCTTTCGAACGAAAAACCGAACCATTCCAAGCAACAAACGATGGCAAATTCTTCGTAACCAAAGCGTCACCAATGGAGAAATTCGAATTGCTAAAGCTCCATGACAAAATCATATGAGCTTCAACCCATTTCCCAGTGGCAGCAGAAAACCCAACATACATTTGATCCAAGAAAACATCAGAAAGATCAAGAAACACATTTACCAAAGGCCTTTTAGGCTTTCTCAAGCCCGCCCGAGCCATAGTAACGTTAAGATTCGAATCAAAATAATCAATCCACACTTGATAGTTCTCACCATTGTTGAGCATCACTGTCCGAAACTCTGAACTATCATCATCCCCAACCCAGAACCCAGCTTCATGAGCTGCCTTAGAAGATAGAGAATTCACGTTGACCCCAACATGATTGCCACTAGGATCATTGAATTCTTGGTTCTTGAACACGTCGAACTCGACGGCGAACAAATGGTTATCTGGGTCGTCATTATTGGTGAAATTGAGGAGGCCCAGAAACTGAGCTGAGCCTGCGCCTTGGATTCCGGTAGTGGGTACGAAAATGAAGGCGAAGCCATGGGCGGGGACGCGGTGAGGATAGGGAGAGATGGAGAAAATGAAGGACGTTGAGAAGGGAAGGAGGTGAGATGAGTTTGGGGGTCTAGTGGGTATTGGGTGTGGGTACAGAGATCGGCCTATAGAGTAGGTGGTGTCGTTGGTGAGAGTGAGGATAGAAGATTGGATTAAGGCGTCGCCTAAGAGGTGGAGGATGGACGAATTGAAGCTGTTGAATGTGAAATCGATGCCTGAAACTGAGTAGAAGAAGACGAAGGAGGTAAAAAGAAGGAAGGGGAATGTTTGAGGAGACATTGGAGGACTGAGGAGAAAAGAGCATCCGGACGCCCACCTAGGTAGCAATGTAGCATGGACGAGTAAAATTCAGAAAACACGCGCAACACAACATGGACACTGTAATGTTTGGCAGCACGAACGAAATTGCACCTTGGAGGTTTTTTTAAAAAAATTATTACAAATTTTGAATTAAAATTCCTCTAATATTAAATTTATGGCATCAGTGATGTGACTATGTAAAATGTTAAATTGGTTATATTATAAAAATAGTATATTGAACTTTTTAAATGAATCACTTATTTTGGAATGAAGAAAAATAAAAAGTTGAACCTTTATTTTGAAATGAAGAAAATATTATATAAAATTTGTATTAAATAGTGCAAGTGTTTTGCCCAAATGATAGGAAAATTTTCTATATAAGAGTGTCCATATTTGAGTCTTCTTTAATCATCAATTCTTAACATTTAAAATAAATAAATAAATGTGTTAGAGCATTTGGTACGGGACCATTAATAGAGAAAAAGTGTGAAAAGTAAAGAGGGCCCGGGGTGGGGGGTATTTTGTGGCCGCATAAGTAGAGTATCATTTTCGTGGCCCCATAGAGTCTTCTTTATGCTCTTCTCCATAAACACATAAGTGTTTGTATATGATCTATCATTTTATTTTAATATTTTATTGGCAGCTTCTATCTCTTCAAGTTGATATTTTTATATGTTTTGAAACGGTTCTTTTATTTATTAAATAACTATTTTAATAAATACTAATTCTCATCCTCAATCATTCTTATTTTCAATAATTCTCTTTCTGTGAGCAACTTGTTGGAATTAATTAAAAATTATAAATGCCACTCTATAAATATTAATTGACAACTTCAATAATTCTCTTTATGTGAGCAACTTGTTTGAATTAATTAAAAATTATGAATGCATCCATTTGTGAAACATTTATGGAGTGTCGTCGTGTCCAACACAGTACGTAAGGAAAAGTATATTGGACTCTCCGCACACTTCTGTTGAACAGATTTCTCTTATTCAAATTATATTTTTTCTCCCTTCAAAGTTTAAGTCAAAGTCAAAGTCAAATAATTGAAAAAAGAATCAAATATCTTTTGATATTTGAGCAACTTATAATCAGATTATGAAATTTCCACTTGCCCTGACCGCTAATCTCCCGAGCACGGGAGGAGATTCATTTGTGCTCTTTTCTCTTCCCAAGCCCACTTTTCTCTTCCCAAGCCGTCGCTCCTCGCCTTCCTCCATCTGATTCCTCCCCAGTTTTTATTGTGGGAGCGGGGAAGTGTCGTTCGCTGCTACTCACTGATTAATAATCTCGACATGATGTAAATAGTTTTCTCGGTGGATAATTTCACTCCGTTTTTTGTTAGTTTTCCTTACTATCGTCGAAATTTCACTATGAGCAACGTCTCTCATGTTTCATCGTGAGTTTGTAGATGTAGTATGGCACATAGTGATTTTCTTGCCGGGACAAAAAAAAAATAATAATAAATAAATAAATCTACCGAGCACGGATATTTTTAGGAATGAGTTGTACTTGTATCATATTTGTGATGGACATGCACTCTTTGAACAAATATTTCATATATATGTCCATAAACAAAAATTAAATTTTATTATTTTGGACATTTAACTAACATTTTGGCACACTTCGTTAACTTTTCGGACACTTACATCGATGCATTATACTTCTTCCGTCCCATATTAAAAGTTCACTTCGAGAATTATAACTCACAAATCCGAAGTTGACTTTTAATATGAGACAGAGGTAGTAACATTTAACATTTCTAATATAAGTCTATCAGATAATCTTGAAAATAATATGAACACGTTATGAAATGTTCAACTTTTTTCTTTAAAAAAAAAAAAAAAATAGTATTATACACATGATCACAAGTGAATTATAAAATGATATTTATGTTGGTAAAATATATGTTTCATGTAACTTTTAAGATATAATAACCTTTATACTAATATGATATGAGATAATTAACAATATGCTAAGAAATGATTAATTAAATATACAATTATATATTTAATTAAATATGCAAAATGAAACAATAAATTAATAAATAGTAAATAAAGAACATGTACCGAAGCAAGTATTGAATACTATGTCCTTAAGACAGATTCGCCCCACTATGGTGTTAACAGACTCAGTGGTGTCTATCTCCCAGGATACAATGGTCTACATCCACCAGTAGTAGTACTACAAACTCATGGATACGGCAAACTTCCTTCGTGTAATACTCTCTCTGACTTAAAAATGTATCTATACTATATAAATACTGAATTGGGCCGAACCAAATGGTTCAGACCAATCTTAATATGGCTCAATGAAATTGGATTAGGGTCTAAGTGGTTCGAACCAATTAACCTATGGTTTGAACCCACTTGGGTTGAGTTCAAGTTTAGAGAGGGAGATAGAAGAAAATGAAAATGAATGATTTGCTAATAATCCAAAGGGGGGTATTTATAGACAACAAGGTGCCTTTTTGGGTTGGGTGCAACCCTTTGGAAAAAACTAAAAAATAGTTTTTAATTAAGGTACCTTTTTCGATTGGATGTGTCTTTTCATTATTGGACACAACCATTTATATGTGTCTTTTCACACTGACACATGCACTCCAATTGATTGCAATGGTTCACATGATGTCTGTTCACCAATAGACACATCCACTCCAATAGGTTGCAATGGTTCACATGATATCTATTCACCAATAGACACATCCACTCCAACAAGTTGCAATGGTTCACATGAATAGTTATGTCTGTTGGTTTTGAGTTGCATCTTTTCATCCCATAACCAACCAGTAATCGCACCTGTTCAGTCAAATGAATCTATTGATGACTAATCAAACAATTTTCATTCACAATTTCTAACAATTTATTCATTTGAAATAAAAACACTATTATGGTAAAGTAGTAGAATAACAATATTTATGATATAAGAGTCATTACAATAATGATATAATTTCATTTTCTAAATAATTTCAAAGCCACTCTTAGTATAAAAATCTTAGTATAAATCATAAATGAATTAATTTTTTATAATACCTTTACTCAATAAAGTACAGAAAATCTCTCTCAATTTGTAACATTTTCCAGTAAACCCTCATCTAATTTTTCACTAAAGAACCCCCCTCGACTTGTAGTCATTTGCAATAAATCCCTCTTTTCTAATGTTTTACCAAATAACCCCCCTTAACTATCTAAGAGGGTAAAAGTGTTGATATTTGGACCAAAATGCCCTTTTATTTAAATCTTAATTTTTTTGAACTTCAAAAATTCATATCTCGCAATCCATACATCCAAATATTACAAATAATATACGCACAAAAAGCTTATAAAACAAGAATTTCATAAATATAAGATTTGTTTAACAAAACTTCATAACCAGAGACAAAATAGACAATCTAAAAATCTACTATAACAATCTTATTTTATTTTATTTTTTATAAAATACTCGGGTTATTTGCAAGAAATTTTTTAGAATTATTTATTTTTATATGGAGCCTAACATATGAAAAAATTATCCCCAATGGAGATCGAATATTTATTTTTATTTATTTTTTAAATGGTGAGTTTATAAAAGAATAAAAACACTTTGACACAAAATAAAAAACACTTTGACACTTTTATATATTTTGCTCCGTATGTAAATGAATAATTCTGAATTTTTTTTTTTTTTTTTTTTTTTTTTTTTTTTTTTTTTTTTTTGCAAATATCTCAAGTATTTTATTTTTTTTAAAATAAAATAAGATTGTTGGAGTAGATTTTTAGATTGTTGGAGTAAATAAAATAACCCCACTCGACTTGTAGTACTTTCCAATAAATCTCCCTATTCTATCTTTTTACCAAAGAACCCCCCCTCAACTATCTAAGGGGGTAAAAGAGTATATTTGGACCAAAATGTCTTTTTATTTAAATCTTTTTTTTTTTTTTTAATTTCAAAGATTCATATCTCACAAACCGTACATCCAAATATTACAAATAATATATGCACATAAATTTTATAAATTAAGGATTCCAGAAATATAAGATTTGTTTAACAAAACTTCATAACCAGAGAGAAATAGACAATCTAAAAATCTACTGCAACAATCTTATTTTATTTTATTTTTTATAAAATACTGGGGTTATTTGCAAGAAATTATTTAGAATTATTCATTTTTATATGAAGTCTAACATATAAAAGAATTAGCCCCAATAGAGACCGAATATTCATTTTTATTTATTTTTTAAATGGTGAGTTTATAAAAGAATAAAAATATTTTGACGCAAAATATGATATTTCATTAAATCAATCTCTGTTGGGGCTAAATTTTTTTTATATATTTGGCTCCATATGTAACTAAATAATTCACCTATTTATCTTTAGTTATGAAGGTTTGTTGTTAAAATCTTATATTTTTGGAATTCTTATTTTATAAGGTTTTCGTGCATATATTATTTACAATTTTTAAATGTACGGTTTGTGAGATGTGAATTTTTAAAGTCGGGGAGAATTAAAATTTAAACAAAAGGGTATTTTGGTCCAAATATCAATTTTTTTACCCACTTTAGATAGTTGAGGGAGGGTTCTTTGAAAAAAAAATTAGACAAGTGGGATTTATTAGAAAAAAAATTACAAGTTGAGGGGGGTTATTTGGTAAAAAAATAGACAAGGGGGATTTACTAAAAAATTCTACAAGTTGAGAGGAGTTTTTTTTTGTACTTTACCCCAATAGATATATATAAATAAAAATTTCATATTTATATATAATCGTGTCCTTGTCGTACCCGTATCTTAATTTTTTAAAAATTTGACATGTTGGCATGGCTATGTCGTGACGTGTCCATGCTACATAGCTACTAATTTTTTCTCCCTCTAAAATATCCTAGTTAGGGAATGGAGTTTTTCAAAAATCATTTGAGGGTTTTTCATTCCAAAACCTTGGTTCAAGTGTAGGGACTTGAACATTAGAGAGATGTACGTTAGAGATAGAAAACTCATAAGGAGACTTGAGTAAGTCTCAAATCACTCCACCAAGGATTTGTACAAACTAATGAAGGTCCTTTACCTCTTTCTTCTTCCTTGGAGCCTCACATTTGCTTTTTTAGT